AAAAAGAAATATAGTTGGGTGGTGTCTGTGGCTCAGAGGAGTAAGGCACTGGCCCCATATGCCGGAGGTAATGGGTTCAAACCCAGCCCTAGCCAAAAAACCTCAAAAAAAAAAAAAAAAAAGAAAGAAAAAAAGAAACATAGTTGTTGTTCAAATGTTTTACATTTATCAATCTTTCATTCACATCTTCTCTAGCCCTACTTAGTTTCTGAGGTCATATTGGTATTATTGATACCAATCTTACTAATTTACCGTCCTGAGATATTGAAATGAATCATTTCTTTGATGAACGGGATATATCATGATGACTTTGTTTAAAGGAGAGCAGGGACAGTACATTTTCTGAGGCCTTGAATATCTGTGGCAGAGAGTTCACTGTCCCTCAATATCAGTTTTCCCCCTTCTTCTATACCAGGAATCAGCAAACATTTTTTAAAATGGCTCGATAGTATATATTTTAAGTTTTGATGGCCACATAATTTGTTACCACCATTCAACTCTGCCATTATAGCACAAAAGCAGCCATGGACAACACATAAAAACAACAATACATAAATGAATGGGTGGTATGTGTTCCAATAAAACTTTATTTACAGATTAGACAGTGGGCTGGCTTGAGACTGGGGACTGTAGTTTGCTGACTGCTGTTCTATATTAATAGAATCTCTGATTTATAGTAAGTACATGAATGACTGAAATAAAAACTACATTTATCAACCATATTTTTTTTTAGCTAGGTATATAGCCCTGTGCCCAAGTGTTAGAGAATGAAATATAATCCAAAGTATGGACCCAACTTCTGAGAAATATTTATCAGGCTTTTCTCCTATGTTAATTAAGTCTCATGATGTTGAGCACAGCTAAAAAAAAGAACTCTTGCCAAAAGAACTTCTCAAGCTAGTAAATTAGTCTGACAGCAGTTCTATAGATGCTATTAGAAGACAGAAGTCTCTTAGGTCAGAAATTTTGTTCCTCAAAGCAAAAACAGTAGAAGGAGTTTCATTCAGCAGAATAATGTGAGTTGCCTGAGCCTTAAATCCTATCTGGTATGCAGAGAAATGGCGGTGGGGGCAGAGGGGGCCATGTAGAACAATTCTGAATGTAGGGAATCCACCATTTTTATACAGGAAGCAGTAAGCAATCCCACCCTGCCCACAGGGAGACAAGTGCATCGCAGGACTTAGTGATACCTACTGGGGAGATGTATTTGACTTCAGGTTTGCCAGTTGCATAAAGAGTTCTGAGAAGTGGCCCAGGTAAAAGAGCGATGAAGACTTTATGGTTTGGACACATTCAGCAAGATGCGTAGGAGCTCAAGGGTCCCAAATTGCCTCCTAGTGTGCTGTGAGTATTCTTTTCATTTCTTCCTATGGCTGCCTAGAGTGGGGAATTCGATACTAGAGATTGATTGACATTTTTGACCATAATACAATCCTTGAATCAACGCAGGCCTCAAAAGATAGAGCAACAATATAGAGAAATCCTGAGACCTTCCACTATACAGCATCATACTGACCCTCTATTTATGTTTGTGTAAACTTCTCTCTAAGTCACTGTTAATTGGGGGCTTTCAGTCATTTGCAGCTGAATCTAGTCTCCATTAACGCGATGTCTAAGAGTGCCTTTCTGTTGCTTTCATACGTAAGTGATAACTAGAATATGGATAAAACACAGGCTCACAAACTTTTTCTCTTTATAGCTATGAGATTATGATCTATCAATTAGTGTTGCAAACTAATTATCTGAGATAAGACTGATTCTTTGATTGTATATCGAGGGAATGATTTTAATTATTTTCTTTATTCTAAAGTGTGACCTTCATTGCTATTCAACTTTGAATAGCCAACTATCACTCCTAAAGTAAATTTTAATTCTGCTTAGTTTATTTACCATTTTTATCAAACATCTCTGATCTTACTGTTTTTTAGGACTATCTGGTCTTCTTACAGTTCCCTTTTATCCTTTTGGTCTTTTGTTTTCTATAACCCTAGTCTTTATAATTTGTTTGAAGCTGGCAAATATTCTCTAATGCTTAGATTTTCTTTGGGCTTCCATAGCATATACCTGCTTTATATCCAAGACCTTGACATGTGGGCCTGTTTTTCTTTCATAGGCCTCTGTAGGCTTTTTTCTCTTACCCTTCTCCTATTTTAAGGGCACTAAACACATTCATGATTTGTCTACCTAGAGGGCCTGTGGCTTTAGTCTCTGTCTCGATCACGGTCCCTTTCCAGGCTCCGGGTGGAAGGCAGCCTAATTTGCTTGACCCATCTCCTAGTTGTCTGACACTAATAATTGACAGAAGAGATGAAAAATTATAGTCCTGACTGTAAGTGCCTTTACAACCGGGACCCTGCATGTAGGGAGTCTCTGTGAGAGCCGCCTACCCTGGGGAAAGCCTCGCCTATCTCTGGGCTTCTGCTGCTCAACAATTTTGTGTTTTCCACTCCTTAACTTAAACTTTCTTGAAAAGATCGAAATTCCTTTGGAAAAAACAATGCTTCCAAATGAAATCTAACTTTAATGCTTGTGATGATGTCAGAACTCGGTAAGGAAAGCTTCCAGAGAAGTTTACTTAGACTGAGAATTACCTGCTATTGGAAAGCTTTGGAAGACTTGCTAGTGTCCCTGTCTGGCCACCAGATCCTTTTGTGGAGGTAATTCTTTGGTGACTTTTTCAGTCCCCCCACCCCCAACATAGACATTAGTGGTCATTGGCAGTTTTCCACCACTATCCTCAGCCATTTCCTCCGCGTGCTTGTTAAGATAGAAAAGAATGTTGTTAGGGCTCTAAATATAAGACTTCTTGGGAAAGGAAATTCTTTTGCTAGACCAATTAACTAGCAGCCATGATGGATAAGAACTTAATGGAACATTATGAGGTTAATATACACTAAATCACATTTACAGTTCTGAGAATTTGGATAGGCTCTAACCATATAGTTGGAGAGCAGAAAAAAACTAATTGAAATACTTTACCATTAATATCCAAGCTCTTGGAAACTAATGGGTTTCCAGAAATATCATTAATGGTAGTTAACACCTATATCATAATCCATATTAGCTAAACATGTGTCAACATGAGAGATATATACAGTACTATGTATTAATAGCCTAGCCTATATTGCTAAAGAATGTTTGCATAAAAGAAATCTACAACTCACACTTATTTCAGTTGCCTTATTAATATTATAATATTAATATTATAAAATAGAGTTTTAATATAACTTCAATGTGAAACCATTTTTACACTTCTTTTCCTAAGCAAAGTAAATGTATACTTGTCAAAATTTTACTTTGTAAAACTGAATAAAGTTAAGAACATTCTACTTCTAATTTGTCAAAAAGCTACTATTAACTACGTGTAGAAGATTTTGATTCATCTGAAGTACTTTTATCCCATCAAGCTTATTTCTTTTCCTACTAATAATTCATATTTACCTTCAGGTGGCAAATGGATACAAGACATGTTAACCCTGGAGGAAACTATTTTAGAACTTAATGCTATGTATGCTTGATATCTTTGTACTTCGTTTATTAAAGAGACTAATATAATCTAAGCAACATGATAAGATGGTAACCTACTTAAAAGGTCAGAGTTTCTCAAATGTTTGTCAATAGCAATTTACTTTTTATTGACACTAATGGCTTAGTTTTGAAGTACAATTTAAGAAAGAAATAACAACCAATTAGCAATTATTATATATTGGCCCAGGTGAGACATACTTATTTTTTATTTTGTTTTTGATAAATTTGCAGAACAAAAGTAGTGTAAATCAAGATTATACATGCATACTTGAATATGACTTTGCTCAAAAGATTATTTTTCTCCTATAATGTGTGAGTGTGCCTGTGATAAGGAGTTTCAGGAGGCAATAGTCATTTAAATTATCCCATTTGTATATCCTCTCAATCTTCAAATAATTTCTTTTTTGGTCAAAAATAATAATGAAAGAATGTACTAAATATTGAGTTTAAATTCTTATAAATATTAAATTAATGCTCTTACATGTGTAAGACTTTCATTTATAAAATCTAAATAAATTAACAGTTATATATTTATGTGTTCTGGTGCTTTGAATGTTAACAGCAAATAAACATTCCTTAGTATTTTGAATACCAATGTGTTTTACCTACACATGTTTTCTGGTTCAGACTCAGTAAAGTTCAAGGGCATCCAAGTATGAAATAGCTTGTGAGGAAATTCACATTGCTTTCTTAATTGGATTTAGTTGACTAAAAGGACACTAGTTCAGAAAAGAGAGCTTCTTTAATAATTTCTGTTCAAATATAGACCTTAAATATTGTACCTAGATTAGTAACTGTGTATATAATTTTCCCAAGGCTTATACAAGGAGCTGGCATTATAAAATACATTAATTTCTGTTAACTATCTTGCCTGCATTTTAATAAATGTTAATATCTTCCTTCTGGAAACATTCTAAAAATGCTCAGAAATGAAGATATGATATAGATAAAAAATATTAACAAATGAGCGACTGTATCTTTAGATGTTTAAGATAAATGTAACTAAATAGTTTGTGTAAATGATTTTAAAAAGGACATCAACTACTGACAGGAATTCAGTTGATAAATAAGTGTCCAGGTAGAAAGGAAACTTAATTCTAAGAATAGTAAATATTTGGTGCATTAATTATTTTTTACCTTATTTCTATCAAAGTAAAACATGTGCATAAGGAGAAATCTGTTTAAAGATTTTGCAGGAAAGTGACTGACTCCTACCCAACTCTGTCCAGCCTGCATGTCCAGTCTTCTTTTCCAGAGACCACCACTTTCAACTTTTTCCCCTTCTAGTAGGCTGCCTCTTGGTTTATGAATTTTTTAATATTTGGCAGTCCCCCAGCTGTAGCAGATGAGGATTTAGCTCTTTTATACGATCGCCTGCATGTTTTCTTATAATATACTTTGAAGTCTTGAGCAAACCAATATTTAGACTTTTTGTTTGCCACATAAAAATTGGTCTTTATTAAACCAAGAAGGGTTCTGTGATGATGTTTCCTTCGGTATGAATTTTTATATTTCCCACAGTTATCACTTGCCTTTTCCTCCATTTGCTTAATTTTCTTTACATCTCTTGTCATTTCCCCATGTCCTAGAATAACCTCTAACAACCTATCAGTGTGACTTTTACATCTGAAAATTCCATCTCTCACATAGCTGACAGTTTGACTAGACAGGTAATTTTAAGTTTGAAGTTCTTTCTATTCTGTTTTGAATCACTGTTATCAGTCATTCTGCTTAGGGGAAATCTCTCTGTGTTGTTTCTTTCCTAATTCTTAGGTTGTTAGGTCCTTTTT